AATATTAATAATATTAATAATATTAATAATATTAATAATATTAATAATATTAATATCATCAATATCATTAATATTAATAATAACTATATCATCAATATCATTAATATTAATAATAACTATATTAATCGCGTCGTGCTCAAAACGGGGATCGAATCGACAACTTTCGTCTCACTTTCGTCCGGCAATTTGCCATTTACTTTTTCCCAACGGAAATTCGCCCATTCGTTCGTGCATTCAATTAAAATCACGGCTCGTACACACACGAACCGAAATAGCCGGAGCTCGGAGATTCATTAAGCGGCGAATGAAGAATCGGCGGCCGATTAGCGAAAGAAATTAATCGAGAAAGAGTGCCCCTCCCCCCCCATTTTAACCCTTTCGGTCCATTCGCGCGGTGATTTTTCTCGCTGAACTTCGGTTATCGAGCGAGCTGCCGCGGGATCGTGGCGAGCGATTTCTCGCCATTCATTCGGGATTCGGTCGAAAGGGTCGAATGAATCGAAATGGTTCTCCGTGGCTATTGACAACGCGGCGTGGAGTCGTCTGGGTTGAAAAGAAAACCCCGCGGAAAAGCCGCTTGGCTCACCGTGGACACCGCCTCGGTTACTGTCGAATAAAACGGTGCTATCGAGTCTCGACTGTCCTTCCTTGTGAACCGAAAGCATTCTCCTACCTTAGGAATTATTTCGTGCCACGCGCGAGTGGCGTTTCTGCAACGATTGGACTGAAAATACGCGGCCATAAGTGGAACGTGTCAGTGATTTGTCAGACCACTGTGTTTTCTTTCATTTCTTTTTTTTTTTTTTAATATTGAATATGTGTTAATTATGTATTATATATTATGTATTAATGTGTTTCAATTGTGTATTATATATTACGTATTAATATGTATTAATTGTGTATTATATATTGTGTATTATATCATGTATTAATATGTTTTAATTGTGTATTATATATTATGTATTATAATTGCGTATTATATATGTATTATAATACATCATATATTATATTATGTATTATAATACATATATGTTGTGTATTATATTGTGTATTATATTATGTATTAATATGTCTTAATTGTGTATTATATATTACGTATTAATATGTATTAATTGTGTATTATATAATATGTATTAAAATGTTTTAATTGTGTGTCATATATTATGTATTATGTATTAATATGTGTTAATCATATATTATGTATTAACATGTATTAATTGCGTGTCATGTATTATGTATTAACATGTATTAATTGTGTGTCATATATTATGTATTAACATGTATTAATTGTGTGTCATGTATTATGTATTAACATGTATTAATTGTGTCATATATTATGTATTAATATGTATTAATTATGTGTCATATATTATGTATTAATATGTATTAATTATGCATTATATATAATAGTGTATCAATATGCATTAATTATGTATTATATATTATGTATTGATATGTATTAATTATGTATTATATATAGTGTATTAATATGCATTAATATGTACTAATTATGTATTATATATTTAACATTGAAACTTTTTTTTTGTAATATTGAATTGTGAAATGACCATCAAAAGTATTTATTTAGAAGTTTCTTTAGAAGATTCTTCGAATTTTCGTGTTCCTCGACAAGGGACCTCGAGGTCGAACAAGAGCCAGCGAAAGTTTCAGGTGGTTCAAGGGGAAATCTTCGTGTTTGAGGATACGAAAGACATAGAGAGAGAGAGAGAGAGAGAGGGGGGGGGGGGGGGTCGTTGAAAACGGAGACGAGTTTGAAGGAGGCTGAGGCTGCTTTAACCGGCTGGCGAAACCGTTATTAAGATTACGGCGGGCGCGCATGAGTAATGACATCCTCCTTTGCTTCCACCAACGTTCCACTGATAAATTACCTCCTCCGCTAATTACTTGGGCCTCGGCATTCCGCTTACAGGCGTTTCACGTTCCAGTTAGTCGCTGGCGGGATACTACTCGTGATCATGCCTCCCTCCGTTTGAAAGTTTGATCCTTTTTTCCTTTTTCTTTCTCTCCATCTTTTTTTTCTTTTCTTTTTTCTTTAATTACCAGGATCTTTGAATTTCTGGTCGAATAAAATTGGGATGAACTTAAGTGTGTATACTCCCGTTGCATTAATATTAGTAATATGTTTCTTATTTTTGTATGTTTCATTGCTTTTCATTTTTATTTCCCCTTGTCTTTTTTGTTCAAACGTAGTATCATGTTCTTTCATCATATGGTAATTCGTTTAAGTTTCTCTGTGTTATATTATATTAATGATACATTTTAATTTTCCAAAATTCAATTTTTGTCGATGTAAGTTTGTTCTTTTGTTGATGTTAAATTTTGCAATTTCTCTGTTTGTTCGTTTGATGTAGAACGTTGTACAACTTGTTTATACTACGTCATTGAGTGTTCTAAGAAAAGGGCGCAACATATGAAAATATTTATGAAATTGTCTGTTATTTATTCATTTTGTGAAATTACATTTAAATTATATTTTATATAAAATGTAATAAATAAATAATAATTTTTATTTTACATTTTATTATTTATTTATTTATTATATTTTATATTATATTTTATATTTTATTATTTATTTATTATATTTTATATTATATTTTATATTTTATTATTTATTTATATTATTTATTATTATTTATATTTTATTATTTATTTATATTATTTATTATTATTTATATTTTATTATTTATTTATTATGTTTTATACTATATTTTATATTTTATTATTTATTTATTATATTTTATATTATACTATACATTGGATTATATTGAATTATGTTGTACTATGTTATGTTATCTTGTACTATATTGTACTACATCATATTATATCGCATTATCACTTTACTATATTTTCATAATACATTATACTATACTACATTATATAATATTATATTATATTATATTACATTATTATTAATGATTATTTCCTATGCTTATGACAATTAACAATAATTAATAAAACATTCTATAAAACTGTTTATCGTCACTTGACATACGAATTTAATATTATCCAACACGCGTGTATATCAACACCTTCGACATATTCAACCGAAGCAGTAATAAACTTCTAAAAAGTGTCTTAAAGTTTAATTTTTCTACAATTAATTGCAAAGTGGCACAGCACACGAAGCATCAAGATACTCTTCCACTCTCTTTCTTTCCCTTTCTTTTTTCCTCTCTCTTTTTCATTATCGATCTGCCCGACGTGTAAGTTCATTTTCTTAGAAAAAGCTTCAGTGGAAAAAGCGACGCCATTAGAGTGGATACTATCGAAGACGAGCTTTTAAGAGGTGAACGTTGTACTCGAACAAAGGTCGACCAGATATTAGGGAAGGCTACCCTTTCAGTGTTGCGACTCTGTCGGCTGTATCGTCGTGTTTTATCCTACGCCGCAGTAGTATAAATCAATAATTGAGACTCTCAAAGAGAGGGGAAATCCACGATGAGTCTAGGACCCTACTGAGATTATTAGGTTCCTCCTCGTTAGCTGTCAGAATGTTTCTCGACGTTCTCTACGGTCAAGGAAAGAAAGAAGGCGGAGAAGGAAAGAAGCTACTTGTTTTGTTAAAAAGAAGAAAAGAAAAACGAAAATTTTAACTTCGTTTCGAGAGACTTAAAAATCTGAATTGGATCGTTTATCGAGTACTGCTGCTCGACTCGTTTACTCTTTTAATTTTCAATTCTGAAAGTCTAATGTTTATTATAATTAATTACATCTGTAATATTTTTTATAATATAAGTATACATTAAGTATTTAATTAAGTATTTAATTAAATTAATTTTATAATTAAGTATATATTAAGTATATATTAATAATATATTAAGTATAAGTATATATTAATAATATATTAAGTATAAGTATATATTAATAATATATTAACTATAAGTATATATTAATAATATATTAAGTATAATTATATATATTATGTATAAGTATAGATTAATAATATATTAAGTATATATTAAGTATTTGTATATTTTTATATTACATGAAATGTTTTTCCCACAGGATTCAAAAATTATGACATTTATTATAATTATGAGAGTAGAGTGGGCCTTTAAAATAGTCAGGCATTCGCAAGTAGAATGAATTTGCTTCTGGTCAGAAAATCACAAATAGTACGAGTCCGTATATAGTCAGACAGTTGCAGGTAGAACGGAGCCGTACATGAGCAGACGCTCGCAAGTAGAACGAGTCCGAGCCCGATCAGACACAGGCAAGTAGAATTTTTACAATAGCGAATTATTTTTTTTTTACAATACTCGAATTTTTGCTTGCATTATTATTGCATAACTCGTTACTGGAAATTGCCACCGTGCTTTCGAAACTATTTGCGTGGAAATAAATTTCACTAACGTCTCATTTCTTTTCACAAAAGTGTCGCACAAAGAGGAAACTAGGCGTGCCAACATCTATCTCAGTGTGTTTTCTTCAGTCGAACATTTCATCCGGGATGACAATTGTAATAACTAACTCTTTCGTTACCATTCGATGTGAAAAAATAAATAAATTAACAATTGCGAAAGTAGAAGCTTCTTTTTCTTTTTTTTCTATTAACCACTTGCGCTGGCGACTGATTGCGGACCATAACGAGTGACCAAACCGTATACAATAATTCGTCGCTTTCTTTTTGATACTCGTTGGTATGATAACACTGGACAGAAATTATTGAGAAATAATAAATTTATTATTTCTTTTGCCTGGGTTATACTTCGATATACCTAAAACTGAAGGAATATCGCAATTTTCGGACAAAAAGTCCTCGACGTCACTCCAGCGCAAGAGATTAACAACTTAAAGTTCAGTCATAGCTCTCAGCTCTATAACCCTGACGAGAGAATCACGATACGTTTTATCGTTCCACGTGACACGCGCACCTCGTGGAAACTATAACATAATGGTCCTCTCATCGATCGCACGGCGTTTCACGTGACGTCCGGATGCACGTGAGGATAAAGAAAAAAAAAAAAAGCGGTGCCTACCTGAGTGAAGAAGTAGTAGTAGACCTTCATGCCGCGATCGGCGAACAGTTGGGCGAAGTGGATCGACGGACAGATGAAGAAGTAGTCGCCGACCACGTCCGCGACCATTTTCTGGTAGATGTAGCCATTGTAAGCATCCTCCCAGTCCGTGTACTGTAACACAATGGAAATTGTTTTTTTTTTTCTCTTCTTCTTTTGTATCGTGTAGGACAATCTTGTAATTATTGTCATTCATTGATTTGTCAATTATTGTTGCTGCTACTATATATTATAGATACGAATAGTATATTAGAACTAATATATTAATAGGTATATTGGTATAATAATATTAATAATTGTATGTAATATTATATTATAGTATAGTATTATAGTATTATAGAAGTATTACAGTATTATAGTAATATTATAGTACAGTATTATAGTAATATTATAGTATAGTATTACAGTATTATAGCAGTATCATAGTAGTATTATAGTACAGTATTACAGTATTACAATAATATTATAGTATAGTATTATAGTATTATAGTAATATTATAGTACAGTATTACAGTATTAGAGTAATATTATAGTATAGTATTACAGCATTATAGTAATATTATAGTATAGTATTACAGTATTACAGTAGTATTATAGTATAGTATTACAGTATTATAATAGTCTTATAGTATGGTATTACACTATTATAATAGTATCATAGTGTAGTATTACGGTATTATAATAGTATTATAGTAAAGTATTACAATATTATAGTAGTATTATAATACAGTATTATAATAGTATAGTATTACGTATAGTAGTATTATAATAGTATTATAGTATAGTATTACACTATTATAGTAATATTATAGGATAGTATTACACTATTATAGTAATATTATAGTATAGTATTACAGTATTATAATAGTATTATAGTATAGTATTACAGTATTATAATAGTATTATAGTATAGTATTACACTAGTATAATAGGATTATAGTATGGTGTTACACTAGTATTATGGTATAATAATAGTATTATGGTATAGCATTATATTATTATAGTAATGTTATAGTAGTATTGTAGCATAGTAATATAGTATACAGTATGTAGCATTTACATTTATAGAAAGTTTAATTTAATTTAGCAGCAGTATACCATTAATTTTTTTTTATTGATTATATTACTAATACTAACATTATTGATATTAATATATATTGTGTCGTATTATATTATTATTTATTGCTTTTCTAATGGGAATTTTTGGAAATATTTTTATAAATATTTAAAAAGTTAGTAGAATTTTGTTATTATCATACTGTTATTACAAAAAACATATTTCTGAGGGAGGGTAATTTTTCAACTATTAGAAATAAACTTTTATGAATGTTTGGTATTATTATTTTGTATTATTATTTAACGTTAGAGGAATGTTTTTTTCTTTTTATGTGAATGACTCGTGAATAAGTAGTTGTGATGAAGAAAGAGAGAGATATAATTCAGTGACGTTCATTTACGCATTTCGAGGAAAAGCAGTGGGCAATAATCGGGCGAATATCGATCGTTCGCGGCTGTGTTTACACCGCTGTGCTGTAACCGTGATAAATGGGGCTCGACAGGTTCGGGACCGTGAATTTTCACTGCAGCCGGCAAAGAACGAGGAAAAAATTGTCCGCCGTTTAAATGTGCGTTTGCCTCGATGCCTCGATGCCTGGCGGAACGCCGCGTTCTCTGCTTATCGGCGCTTTAAATTCTTCAACGTGGGCGGTCGTTGAGAGCCGAAGGAGGAAAGGGGAGAGAACGAAAGTAGCGAAATAAGGTGTAGAAAACATGGCCCATTAAAGATTTCACGACCCTCAGGTAACTTGTAACGAGTAAACCTTCGGTTTGTACCTTTAATAGTTTCGAACGAATTCTTTCGACTGCGGGGTTTCACGCAAATTTACGTTATCGAAGGCAAACTGGATAAATAAGTGTGGATAAAAGATATGAAACGAGTCGAACGAGTATAAATATGAAATATAAAGCAGAGAGTAGGAAATGTAATATACTATAGAAATAAAATAGAAAAATAATGTGTAAATAAATACAGTGTAAATAATGTATAATAAATGATAGATAAGTATAGAATGTGATATGTTGAGAGTAGACAATTGAACATAAGTATAAAATATAATGATACAGTGTACTAAGAAAATATAAAATATAATAATAAATATAATATATAAATGTTATGTTATATATCATATATAATATAACACGTTAATATATTATATGCTATATTTTTACATTTATATATTTTATACTTATATTATATATAATATAATATATTTATATATCATATGTTATATTTTTATATTTATATATTTTATACTTATATTATAAATAATATAATATATTTATATATCATATGTTATATATTTATATTTATATATTTTATACTTATATTATAAACAATATAATATATTTATATATTATATGTTATATTTTTATATTTATATATTTTATACTTATATTATATTACATATTATGTATTATATGTTATATTTTATACTTTATATATTATATATAAATATAATGTACTAAATAAAATAATAACATTAAACTACATAAAATATAAATAACGTGATGAAGTATAATAACACATAAATAAACAGATACTACGCGAGGCATATAAATAAATAATCAACTACACAGTCAATACGATGTGTCTTCATTCTACGTAGCTCATGTTTACTATAAACGAATTATACTTAATCAAATAAATTAATAATAATTATCATGTCTCAGAATTGGAAAGAACAAGATAAAATAAAGGAGATGACCCATTATCGACAAGAGATTTCGTTGTTGTCGACAATGTAAAATAGGAGTTCTTCTTTTCTTTCTGAACGAAGGATTTTTTGGAACGGAAAGGGAAAGAACCGGAGGTACTGCTGCGGAACGACTATCGATCAGCATTTTCGTGAATAATGGAACATCGTTAATTGACGACCGCAGACGAACTTAAGGCGAACGATATTCAACGGAGCGAGATGGAGGAGCCTAGAGGGGGCCGAGGCGCCGCTTAACGAATCGACACTGGGACAGAGAGCCAGCCAGTGGCAGACTCACTCGAGAGATCCTTTCGCATTATCAGGGGACATCCTGGTGAAGCAACTCCTCCCTTCGTTTCTCGTTTCTTCTTCCTTGGGCGATCGATCGCGAATAAATTGCAAACTGCCTGTGGATCCGACTTGGCGATTCGTTCCTCTCGATGAAGGTGGAAGGCAAAGTTTCTTTTGGAATGGAATTGAAACTTTGATTTCGGCTGTAGCTTTTTTTTTTTTGGACAATATTGTATCGTCGCATCGTTGAGACTGTGTGAATGTTAAAGTGTAACACTAGTTTTGATAATTGTGTCGAAGAATAGAATGTAATACTAATAAAAACAGAAGTGAAAGCTGAGATGTGATGTTAGGTGAGATAATTGTCTTATTTTGGTACTATTGTGGAATTATTGAAAATAATATAAATATGATATAATGGTATTTATATTATTATAATGTTAATAAGTATATATTGATAGTAATATTAATAAGTGACTTATTACTTATTAATAATTATTAGTGTTAGTTAATTATTAATAAAATAAGTATAACTAATACTTATTAATAATTAACAAGTAATATTAATAATATTAATATATATTAAAGTATATATTGATATAAATATAAAATAAATTATTAGTAATTTGATGAAGAATTTGCATAACTGAACTATTCAAAGTACGTAATTAATTAATCGATTAATTATTCTGAGGCTCACGTTTCTTCTTTGAAACAATTGAAAATATATTGTATTAATATCAAAGTTGAAATTAAAGTATAGTGCCAGTTTCGATAAATGTATGACAGAATCATTGAAGATTAAAATATAATACTACTGTAGATACTAATGTAGAAATTAAACCTACTATATAACATCATTTTCGATAATTGTCTAATTTAGAATTATTGGAAATGAAAATACAATGCTATTGGATGTTAAAAATATTAAAATATACAACATTAGTGTAATAATATAATATAAATTATATAAAGAATATAATATAATATATAATATAGAAAATAAATATAATACTGATAATATATATATATAAATCTATATATTTAATATTTATTAATCTTTAATATATATATAAAATATTTATTTCAATATATTATTATATATATTTAATATATATTAACCTATATATTTAATATATTCATTTTAATATATTATTATATATATTTAATATATTAATCTATATGTTCATCTATATATGAATATATATTAATTTATATATTCGTGTATATATGAATATACAATGCAATACAATAAATACAAAACAAATTGTCAATAATTGAGGTATTTACGTGATTGAACGGTTAAAAATTTATTATAATCACGGTTCACCGTGGCCAAACATCGTGAGAAAGCCCTGGGAGATTCAACCTCGCGAGCGATTTACAACCGATTTACAATCTCCAGTTATTTCTGTCGGTCGATCATCGCGCCGCGGAATTTTAATATTTTAATTAACGAGCACGTTACATCGTCGCCCCTTTAAAACCAGCAGTTACACACCGCTGCCAACTCAGCCTAGGCGACAGCGTAGGCGAAAATTAACGGTTCCGCGTAGGACAGGGCCACCAGCAATATGATAGCGTTGTCTAGCTGGAGTTTCTGGCTTCTCCGGGGGCTTTAATCAAACTTCCAGCCGCGTAATCTGCGAGCGGCGTGCTTCTTACCCGAGCTGAGGAGGAACGTGTCGGTGACAAATTGCCACGCGAGCGAAGAACGAGCGAGCACTCGCTGATCGAACCGTGTCTGATGAACGGGGGGCCCACGAGAATCTCAACTGGGCTGAAATTACTTAAGTGGGGAAAATATTTGGGAGAATTTAATATCAAACCCAGATTTTAGCGGTTTGTATAATAAATAGTTTAGATTAATATAATTAATATATTATGTATTATATATTAATGTAAATTAATATATTATATATTATACATTAATGTAAATTAATATATTATATATTACACATTAATGTAAATTAATATATTATATATTACACATTAATGTAAATTAATATGTTATATATCACACATTAATGTAAATTAGTGTATTATATATTGCATATTAATGTAAAT